TTGGGCTGTTGTGTTTGTGCTAGGAATGGCTGTTTGGTTTAGGGTTTAGTTAGGGTGGGCTGCTAGGGTGTACTGTTTGTGTGTTTCGGGCTGGTTGGGCTGGTTGGGCTGTTAACCTCATGGGCTGCTGGGCTGTTTGTTGTCTTGTTGGGCTGTTGCTTTTGCTGGGCATGTGCTGGGCAGGGCTGTTTGGTTCTTGGGTTGTGTGTAGGGCTGTTTGTGCGTTTAAGGTTTTGGCCTTGGCTTTCTGCTTTCTGTTGGGCTGGTTGTTTTGTTGGGCTGTTGCCTTTGCTGGGCATGGGCATGTAAGGCTGTTGTTGGGCTGGCAGGCCGTACTGTTTGTGTGATTAAGGTTTAGGGCTTGGCTTTCTGGGCTGTTGGGCTGCTGGGCTGATGGGCGGTTGGGCTGGTTTGCCAAGGCTCTGCTGGTTGTTTTGTTGGGCTGTTGCTTGCTGGGCATGGGCATGTAACTGTAAAAACCTTGGGTTTCTGCTGTCCTGTTGGGCTGCTGGGCCGGGCTGGGCTGTAGGACTTTGGGCTGCTAGAGCGCTGTCTGTGTGTTTAGGGTTTAGGGCTTGGCTTTCTGTGCTGTTGGGCTGCTGGGCTGCCGGGGGGCTCTGGGCTGTGTTGGGCTGCTGGGTTGGCTTGGGTTCTTGGCCTGTTAACCTCAGGCTGCAGGGGGCTGCTGGGGTGATGGGGGTTGGCCAGGGGTCTGGGCTGTGTTGGGTTTAGGGTGGGCTGCTAGGGTGTACTGTTTGTGCGATTAGGGCTGGTTAACCTCTGCTGGGCTGTTTGTTGTTTTGTTGGGCTGTTGCTTTTGCTGGGCATGTGCTGGGCAGGGCTGTTTGGTTCTTGGGTTGTGTGTAGGGCTGTTTGTGTGTTTAAGGTTTTGGCCTTGGCTTTCTGCTTTCTGTTGGGCTGGTTGTTTTGTTGGGCTGTTGCCTTTGCTGGGCATGGGCATGTAAGGCTGTTGTTGGGTTGGTAGGCCGTACTGTTTGTGCGTTTAAGGTTTAGGGCTTGGCTTTCTGGGCTGTTGGGCTGCTGGGCTGATGGGCGGTTGGGCTGGATTGCTAGGGCTCTGCTGGTTGTTTTGTTGGGCTGTTGCTGTTGCTGGGCATGCGCTGGGCAGGGCTGTTTGGTTCTTGGGTTGTATGTAGGGCTGTTTGTGTGTTTAAGGTTTTGTCCTTGGCTTTCTGCTTTCTGTTTTCTGTTGGGCTGGTTGTTTTGTTGGGCTGTTGCCTTTGCTGGGCATGGGCATGTAAGGCTGTTGTTGGGCTGGCAGGCCGTACTGTTTGTGTGATTAAGGTTTAGGGCTTGGCTTTCTGGGCTGTTGCTTTGTAACTGAAAAAAATTGGGTTTCTGCTGTTCTGTTGGGCTGCTGGGCTGCTGGGCTGATAGGCTGTGGGACTGTGAGCTGCTAGGGCGCACTGTCTGTGTGTTTAGGGTTTAGGGCTTGGCTTTCTGTGCTGTTGGGCTGCTGGGCTGATGGGGGTTGGCCAGGGCTCTGGGCTGTGTTGGGCTGCTGGGTTGGCTTGGGTTGTTGGGCTGTTAACCTCAGGCTGCAGGCTGCTGGGCTGTTTGTTGGTTTGTTGGGCTGTTAAGGTGTTGGGCTGTTGCGTTTGTGTTAGGAATGGCTGTTTGGTTTAGGGTTTAGTTAAGGTGCTGCTAGGGTGTACTGTTTGTGTGTTTCGGGCTGGTTGGGCTGGTTGGGCTGTTAACCTCATGGGCTGCTGGGCTGTTTGTTGTTTTGTTGGGCTGTTGCTTTTGCTGGGCATGTGCTGGGCAGGGCTGTTTGGTTCTTGGGTTGTGTGTAGGGCTGTTTGTGTGTTTAAGGTTTTGGCCGTGGCTTTCTGCTTTCTGTTGGGCTGGTTGTTTTGTTGGGCTGTTGCCTTTGCTGGGCATGGGCATGTAAGGCGGTTGTTGGGCTGGCAGGCCGTACTGTTTGTGTGTTTAAGGTTTAGGGCTTGGCTTTCTGGGCTGCTGGGCTGATGGGCGGTTGGGCTGGTTTGCCAAGGCTCTGCTGGTTGTTTTGTTGGGCTGTTGCTTGCTGGGCATGGGCATGTAACTGTAAAAACTTTGGGTTTCTGCTGTCCTGTTGGGCTGCTGGGCCGGGCTGATAGACTGTGGGACTTTGGGCTGCTAGAGCGCTGTCTGTGTGTTTAGGGTTTAGGGCTTGGCTTTCTGTGCTGTTGGGCTGCTGGGCTGCCGGGGGGCTCTGGGCTGTGTTGGGCTGCTGGGTTGGCTTGGGTTCTTGGCCTGTTAACCTCAGGCTGCAGGGGGCTGCTGGGCTGATGGGGGTTGGCCAGGGGTCTGGGCTGTGTTGGGTCTAGGGTGGGCTGCTAGGGTGTACTGTTTGTGCGATTAGGGCTGCTGGGCTGTTTGTTGTTTTGCTGGGCTGTTTCTTTTGCTGCGCATGTGCTGGGCAGGTTTGTGTGTTTAAGGTTTTGGCCTTGGCTTTTTGCTTTCTGTTGGGCTGGTTGTTTTGTTGGGCTGCTGCCTTCGCTGGGCATGGGCATGTAAGGTTGTTGGGCTGGTAGCCGTACTTTTTGTTTGTGTGTTTAAGGTTTAGGGCTTTCTGGGCTGTTGGGCGGCTGGTTTGCCTGGGCTGTTGCTTTTGCTGGGCATGGGCATGTAACTGAAAAAACCTGGGTTTCTGCTGTGCTGTTGCTGCTCTGTGGGACTGTGGGCTGCTAGGGCGCGCTGTCTGTGTGTTTAGGGTTTAGGGCTTGGCTTTCTGTGCTGTTGGGCTGCTGGGCTGACGGGGGTTGGCCAGGGCTCTGGGCTGTGTTGGGCTGCTGGGTTGGCTTGGGTTGTTGGGCTGTTAACCTCAGGATGCTGCTGGGCTGTTTGTTGGTTTGTTGGGCTGTTAAGCTGCTGGGCTGTTGTGTTTGCGCTGGGAAATCCTGTTTGATTTAGGGTTTAAGGTTTAGGGTTTAAGGTTTAAGGTTTAAGGTAAAGGGTTCAGTGTTTACGGCGGGGTGCTAGGGTGCACTGTTTGTGTGTTTAGGGCTGGTTGGGCTGGTTGGGCTGTTAACCTCATAGGCTGCTGGGCTGTTTGTTGTTTTGTTGGGCTGTTGCTTTTGCTGGGCATTTGATTTGCGAGCAACGCCCCAAATCTAGCGATTCGGAGATCGGGCCCCGAACCCGTCAATTCGGGAGCCGGCCGTCGATTCGGGAGCCCCGAACCCGTTGACGCGGGCGATCGGGCCGCGATTCGCGGACAAAGGCCCGCCGCGAGCAATTCGGGGCCCCAAACCCGTCGATTCGAGAACGGAGGCCGCCGCCATTCGGGACCCCGCGTCGCCGCCCGAATCTCGTGGAGCCTGCAGCCCCGAACCCGTCGATTCGGGAGCCGACCGTCGATTCGGGAGCCTCGAACCCGTTGACGCGGGAGCCGACCGTCCCCCGATTCGGGAGCCCGAACCCGTCGTTTCGCGAACAAAGGCTCGCCACCAGCAATTCGGGACCCCGCGAGCAAAGGCACGTCACCGCCCGAATCTGGCGAGTCGAGCCCACCACACTCCCTAAGCGCGCGCCGGCCAGCACATCGGCTGGCACTTCGGCGTTGGCCAGCTGCTCTGCCGCGCGTAGGAACAAGTCTGCACTGGCTTCGTCAGCCACACGCACCCGGAGGCGTTTTGCTGTACATCCGGACGGCTGCGGCCCTGCTGCGTCCGCCGCGCGCATTGCATTGCGCAGGAACCGAGTTCGGAGCCAAGAGCTCGTGCGGGCGTGTCGGCGGCCGGAGCATCCAGGTTGCGCAGGGCGGTCAAGCTCTCCAGCAAAGCGGGCGCCATGGGCATCACTGTCAAGGCGGCGCTGGCTGCAGAGAGCTCCCCCGAGTTGGCCCTCGACGCCCTTCGTGGCCCAGTTTTCGGTGAACCGAGCGAAATCGCACAAGGCGAAGGAGGCAAACAGGGGGTTCTCTTGATGCCCGCCCCTTACGCGTTGGGGCAGCAGCCCGCGCTGCTCCAAGTGCACGCGGCCCTAACCCTGGAGAAGACTTGCACGCGTACTTGGACAACATCTACGTTACTTGTCAGCCCGAGCGTGCCCGGGCCCCGCCTTTTCGGCCTTAGGTGCAGCGCTGTGGGGGCGCGCGCGAAAATCCGCGTCCATCTGGGCAAGACGCGGGCATGGAATGCCGCGGGCAGGGATCCCCGCATTACTGGATGCACTCCCCGCCGCTGCGCGGGCCAGGGGGTTGGGCAAGGCCACCAGCCGAGCAAGGCATCACAGTCCTGGGCACGCCGCGGGCATGATGCGTATGTCGCGGGAGCTTTGCGACGCGTGAGGGAGAAACATGACGACCTCTTGGGTCGCATCCCCACGGTGCCGCGCCAACACAGCGCCTCCGCGCGCCGCCTCGGAGCAATTACTTGCTTCGTGTTGTGCCGCTTTCATTCCTGTTGTCGAGTTGGTTCCAATCTTACTAGGAGATTTCCCTATTTTGGGGTTCCCCTATGATTGACCCTTTCTGAGCCACGCCCATCTTGGCTTTTGGGACGTTGCCACTGCTTCACTCATGAAATTGCAAGGCCGGTTGTGCTGGGTTGACATGGCCGTGCCTGCTGGCCAAGCACACGCCCCGCGCGCCAAAGAAGACACATATCTTGCGCTCCTTCGCCCCAACGCGCGCTGGGGGCTGGTTGTTTTGCAGCCCGACTGCAGTTGTGCCGTGGCTGGCGCGGGCGCGCGAGAAGTGTGCCGCCATTGCCGCCTTGCGACGGTCTTCCTCGTTGGCCGCCGGGGCATGCCGTGCGGACGGGACTCCGTGTCAGACGTAGTTGATGGCCACGCGGGTGGGTCGCCAGGGCGAGCCGTTTGCCGCTGAAACGGGCGAGAATCAGGAGTTTGGTTGACTTTTCAACTGGCGGCCGCACGGGCGACAAGGGTCCGAGGAAAAGGGAAACCAAAAACAACATTTGCTCAGTTGGGTTGTTGGGTTCCTTGACAAGTGTTTTGCAGCATGACATGCTGGTGACTGCAGCTGTTTAAGATTCCAGGCCCACTCCTACCATGGATTCCCCCGATGTGTGCGTGGTGCTGAATGGCGCATCAGGCCGTGTTTGCGTGGTACATGGTGCGCAACGCAGCTGGTCGATCCTGAGGCTGAAGGAGGAAGTCCAGAAAGCGACTCGCAGCGAAGCTTCGCCCTGTTTCGTTAGTGGAAGGTGGCACAGCAACAAAACTTGGTTTAGCAGCAAGCAAAAGAAGAGGTTGATCTAAATCGATTGGGAACATAGGTGTTTGCGAAAGCTGGCCAGGGAGGCTGCAAATGGGACGTGTTTTTCGTCGCCTTTTTCCCGATTCCAAGCACGTGTCACAGTTAGGATCCAAGCTCCAGGTTTTCAAAATTGCTCCGGATCCCATTTGGTAACAAGCTCACCTGGGACAAAACGAGCTCACCCATGACAAAGGTTCCTTACTGAAGGATTCCTTGTTTCAGTCCTTGTAACGCAGCAATTGCAATTACAAAAGCACCGTCAAACAATTCAAAACTGAAACCTTGTATATAGCTCAGGGTTTATTTGCGCGTTTCCTTTTTTTCAAAAAAAACACGCGCTGCGTTTCCAAGGGCTTCCAGGGCCTCGGCGTTCGCCGAGGTAAAGTCCATCCCCTGCGATGAGCAGATCCTGATCGATGGCTTCCGGGAACTGAAAGATGAGGAGTCAAAAGAGCTTCCGATAAGAAGCATAGGTGTCCTTTCTGGTTGTTGTTGTGGAAATAAGGTTTACTTGGTGGTTTTCTCATCTACCAGGGCCATCTATTTCCCTCAACAGGACACCTATTATCCCAAGAGGGACCAACCAGTCTTATTCATTGGTTGTAGAAACGGTGCTGCGTGACTTATTGAGCATTGTCCCACAGCTGGACTCGAAGAGGCTTTGCGGGAGGTTGGTGGTTTCAAGATTAAGGGGTCAGTTTGGCAGACCCTTGGGGAAACCCAAGCCAAACTGCAGCTGACTTCTGCCACGGCAGAGCACCCTATCTTTGCAAAGCACGCAGCTTCCATAAAGTCGTCATTGTTTGGGCTGGATTGGTGTGTGACCTGCCGCTGTTACACATGCCTTGCTGCATGCTGTGGGATTTCCAGGGCAAACTTTGCGGGGGTCCGTCCTCAAAAGAAGCCAGGCGTTTTCCCATCACTTCCTCAACCATCAACGTTTTTTTTTCAGCCCGTTGCCTTCAGCAAAGAACGTTTTTGTCCTTGGAACATCCGGCCAGGAGCTGGTTGAGGGCCTTTGGGAGGTCACTCTGGTGAGGCGCAGCGCGCAGGAGGCTGCATGGCTGCGCCTGGCGCAGGAGGCGCGAGGCCAAGCCGTGATGCCCAGCGTTGTAGAGGGAAGCCGCCCATTGCATTTTGAAACCGCTCTACAGGGAACCCAGTGCATGAATTTACTACCATTGAAACCATAAAAGGACGGCTGCCACGCTGCAGGGAACCCAGTGCATGAATTTGTTATTGTACTTCGAGACAATCCGGCTTTGCCAACACGTCGAACCGGTCTTTCGACATTGGGGGCCCCTGATGCTGGAATCTGTCGAGGTAATGCATGAGCCCGGGATTTTGCTTGGTCGTCTGAGGCTGGAACAAGGTAGCTGGCGTCTTGTACGTGGTTTTTTTGAGAGAACCTTGGGTGTCCATCTTCCAGCCAAGGGCTATGTGAGCATGGCCATGGGAACCGGTTTTTGGAAAGAGGAAGTTGCGACGACCAATCAGGAAGGAGAAGTGTCTTGAGATCCAGTCCTTTCGCTTCTCTCATTCATCCCTGTATCCTAGACCCTTTCCTTCTAACACACTCACACCTGGCCATGGGTCAAATCCAAATCGTTCTTCCAGTGAACATCCCAATCCCTACTAAAATAGGTCCTAAAAGGGTGGTGACCTACCAACCAAAATGGGGTATCCCAAAACGGTTTTGACAACCGCAGCCACCTTAATAACAGACTGGAGTTCCATGGCAGGACTGGAGCGCGCTGCTCAAGGAGCCGGAGGCGTGGCAGTACCGCTCCGTGGTGCTGGCGGCGGTGCGGAGTTTCCTGGAGCCGATGAGTTGGAATGGAACGCCTTTCTGGTTGATGAACCCAGGTGATTGTCTCTGGCTCAAAACACGGGTAGGTGAAGGTTAATAAGGGCCAATCCCAACCAAAAAAATGGTTCTGGGTAGACCATTCTACAACAAAATTTTGATTCTGACTCAGGTGATGGACAAACTGTCAGCGTCACTTTGTACCCAGATAACTGCCTCAAGGGGAGCTGACTTGCTTAAGAATGGCGGATGCCTCGGTCGTGGCCTGCCTAACGTGGAGCATCCTCCGAGGCTCCGGCTGGGCGCTGCAGCACGCCGCGGCGCTGCGCGCGGACGCGGAAGTGGTGCGGGCGGCGGTGGAGCAGAACGGCCTGGCGCTGCAGCGCCCTGGGAACGCTTTGGTCCTTGAAACGGGACCTCCCTTCCACTAACAGGGGGTTGCTATGTGGGAGGGTAGGAGAGAAACCCGCAGGTCCCCTGGCTGGGTTTTCCCCACATGCTGGCCTTGAAGATCTTTGGCTTTGGCCTTGAGCGCCAAGAGATGGCGAAACTGTGGGTGTGGCAGCAACAAAAACCTGGGAAAGGGTTGACCAGTGCACAGACCAAAAGTTCGACTCGCTGCTACGCTGCATTCCCACTTTGCCGTTTGCCACCACGTCTTGGGCACCAGCCTTTCTCAAGTGGATCAAGAGGGTGTGCAACCCCCAAAAGCGAAGTTTTGCCTCTAACTTGGGGTGCGGGCGGTTTGAAGGCACACCAAAAGGAAAAGAGCAACCGTTCCTCTTCCAAAATAGAAAAATACATTTCTCTTCTTTTGTTGGCGATGTTTTAAGCATCACGTTTTTTTCAGCATCACTTTTTTGGGGTTATGATAAAGGTGAGGCTCCCTTTTGCGCGGGTCAGGTGCTTTTTCCAATGTCCCTCTTTGTTAAAGCTTTTTGGCCCAACAAAAGGTGAGGTTCCCTAACCCCTGTTTTTCTTGGTGGATTTTAAGCATCCCTGTGTTTTGGGGCCCATCCTAAAGGTGAGGCTTCCTTTTTCGCAGGTGCTTCTTCCCATGTCTCTCTCTTTAAAGCCCTTTGGCTAGGTGAGGTTTTTCCCATGTCTTTTTTCCCATGCCTTTTCTTCAGCGGCTCAGGTGTCTTTTTTTAAGCTTGGCCCATTAAAAAGTCGTTTGGTTCCCTCAGACCGGCGTCCGGACGGCTCAGGTTCGCGGACGCCGCTTTGGCCAGAGACCCGGACCTGGTGCTGGCCGCCGCAGCGCGCTCGGGCCGCGCCTTCGCCTTCGCGGCAGAGGATGTTGGATTTTGGTCGGGGGGGGGGGGTTGAAGGGGGCGCGCTTAAAGGGGGGGGATACAACACGCACACACACACATACATACACATTTTTTTTATTGTTTTGAATGTACTATAAACATGTTGATACACATGTGTATACAGAGGCAGACGGAGGGAGACAGACAGAGACAGACACAGACAGGGAGAGACAGGGAGAGACAGAGAGACACAGCCAGAGAGACAGAGACAGAGAGACAGAGAGACAGAGAGAGACAGTGAGAGAGACAGAGACACGGAGAGACAGAGAGACAGAGCCACAGAGAGACAGAGACACAGTGACACACAGACACAGAGACACGGAGAGACAGAGAGACAGAGACACAGAGAGACCGGCACACAGAGAGACAGGGACACAAAGAGACAGAGAGACAGAGAGACAGAGACAGACAGAGACAGGCAGAGACAGGCAGAGACAGACAGAGACAGACAGAGACAGACAGAGACAGACAGAACAGACAGAGACAGACAGAGACAGACAGAGACAGACAGAGACAGACAGAGACAGATAGAGACAGACAGAGACAGATAGAGACAGACAGAGGCAGACAGAGGCAGACAGAGCAGACAGAGACAGATAGAGACAGACAGAGACAGATAGAGACAGACAGAGACAGATAGAGACAGACAGAGACAGACAGAGACAGACAGAGACACACAGAGACAGACAGAGACAGACAGAGACAGACAGAGACAGACAGAGCAGACAGAGACAGATAGAGACAGACAGAGACAGATAGAGACAGACAGAGCAGACAGAGACAGATAGAGACAGACAGAGACAGATAGAGACAGACAGACACAGAATTGAGACGGGCAGACACGGGAAGAGACGGGCAGAGACGCGCAGAGATGGGCCGAGACGGCAGAGCCGGAGGTAGAGACAGAGACAGAGGCAGAGACAGGCACAGAGACAGGGACGGAGACAGACCGAGACAGACACGCAGTGGCACACATAGGTACACACCTACTTACATACATACATGCATGCATGCATACATACCATATCATATCATACCATACCATACCATACCACCATACCATGCCATACCGTACCATACCATACCATGCCATGCCATGCCATGCCATGCCATGCCATGCCGTACCATACCATACCATACCATACCAATAGATACCATACACACCATACATACCATACATACCTGCACACCATACATACCATACATATCATACATACCATACATATCATACACACAACACCATACCATACCATACCAATAAATACCATACATACCATACATACCATACATACCATACATACCATACATACCATACATACCATACATACCATACATACCATACATCCCATACATACCATACATACCATACATACTATACATACCATACATACCATAAATACCATACATACCATACATCACATACACACATACATGCATGCATGCATGCATGCATGCATACGACATACATACATACGTACATACACACATGCTCCTCCACACACACACACCGGCACACATGCACACATACATAGTTTTACCAAGATGTATACATACATATGTATACATTCATAGACATGCGTGGGCATGCACATGCACGCGCGTACATACACATACATACAGATACGTAACACACACACACATACGTTCACACACATAGACATACACACACACATGCTTCATGTACATACATGTGCCTACCTTCATTCGTGCGTACAAACGTACAAACAAAATCGTACAAACAATACATACGCACGTGCATACATATACTTGTACCAAAAATGCAAACATGCAAACATACAAACATACAAGCGTTCACGCACACAAACATACACACATACAATCATACAAACATACACTTGCAAACGCACAGACAAAATACATACATACATACATACATACATACATACATACATACATACATACAAACATGCATGCATGCATGCATGCATGCATGCATGCATACATACAGACATGCAGTGTCTATATTGTATGCGTGCATGCATGTATGTGTTTGTGGTCTTTTTAGGGACCTACATTTTGCCAGAATTCAAGGGTGTGCGAAGTGTTTTGACGCTTTTTTTGGGGCTTTGGGGAAAGCGTCAAACACGGCACAAGGTCATGTTTTCAAAATATAAATACAAACGTTACATAGATGTAACATTTGTGACTCTTAATACTTGTATTTATGTTACTTGTTTGTTTGAACCTTGTTTGTGTATTTATTGTTTAGTTTATATTACTTTTAGTCTTATTACTTACTTTTACATTGATTTTTGTGTTCATTATTTAGTTATTTGTGCATTTTATTCTGAGGAGGTGTCTATTTTTTGAAACAAAGAGCATCTTCACTGTTTTTGTGACAGGGCTCAGGGCTTGGGGCTTCCGCGGCTTGCAGGAGCTGCGGAAGTCCCGGAACTTTGCGCTGAAGGCGGTGGCGCGGAACGGCCACGTGCTGAAGTACGTGGATGAGGCGCTCGAATTCTGAATCGGCGTCTCCCATCAACCTCCCGCCCCCTCCCCCCAACCTGTGCCCTGCCCAGGCTTCCATCCTCAGAACCAATGGTTTCCTTGAGCTCCTAGGCCTTCAGGGAGCCCCCTTGGGCGTGTCACTTTAATCTTGTTTGCCTTTTTGCACAGTTCCGTTTCATTCCCCTTTTTACGCTCGGCTTTCCGAGGCGGCCTTTGCGGGGTTCCTTTTGACATTATCCTTTGGGCGGGCGGGGGTCAGCTGGGGTTTCAGTGCCCAAGGGAACAGACTGAAAATGGACCATGATGTGTGCCTTATCGGGGGACTTGCTAACACACTTGGGGGTCGGGGCAAAGTTGGGGCATCGAAGGGTTTTAGGCTCAGCGGAATGAATCTGTATCTTATGAGGCCGCTAAGGCCTATGCGCCGTCTCCTCCTCAGCCAGTGGGAAACAGAACCGGGAGGATTTGCGTGACAGTGCGGAGGTGCTCAAAGCTCCACCGCGTCTCCTGAAGCAGGGCAAAGTTTGATCTTCGAAGGCTAAGAGAGTTTTAGAGTAGAGCCTCTTTAGCCCTTAGGCGCCATGAGGCCTCAGGCGGAATGAATCTTATGAGACCGCTAAGGCCTATGAGGCTTTTCCTGAGGCTGTCATCTCACGAGGGGAAATACCTCGTTTTGTATGAAATGAGCCTCTTGCTACTTTGAAACGGCTTTCCAGACTTTCCGGACTTTGCAGATGTGCGTTTCAGTAAACAAATGACCACGGACGGAGCAGGCTTTTGCTCTGTCTGGAAACATTTAAAGTCAGCCTGTGGAAGCAAACAGAGAACCTCTAAAAACGGTCGGTTCAGTTTACTTCTGCTCTCGTTGGAAGACTCACCAAGAAAGGCCGTTTCCTGTCAACAACGGTTCCCGCAAAAACGCCTTGTGAAACGTCTTGAGCAGCATGTACAGCCTCGCTTTGTGAGGATTTCAATCACCACATTTTACAACTTGCTTTTTTGATGTGGCCCCTTCGTGACGCGGACCAGGCAGGTTGATTCAAAGAGTCCCAGCTTCCACCCCGGTGTGGTGGACACTTACCCACGTAGATTCTATTTTGCAGCCACCAGTCTTTCGCGGATTTGTTGTTTAAAGTTTAGGGTTTGGGCTTGCAAACCAGGGACATTTAGTCACCTTCCTTTGGACATTAAGTGTCCGTGGCAAAAGAGGTTTCCTTTACTTTCCCAGTCAGAGCAACCCCCCAAATTAGGCCTCAGTCTATTTTGCAAGCCTAAATTCTAAAAAACCAATACTTTGAAAGCAACCCAGCTCAGATTCCCGCGCCCGTTGTCCTTCCCCTGACTTTCCGCGCTCCCGTCAACATTGGGCAGAAACATACGCACACTCACACACACACATATACACATATACACACATATATGCTCAAAAAGCATGGCTCCAGCAAGGGGTGAATTGAATAGACCAACCCCTGCGAACAACTCTCAGATGGCTTGCCAATATCATAACATCTAACCACATTTCTGGTGTCCTTCCCTTTTATGCAAGCAAACATACCAATATTTTTTGTTTAAAAACAACAAAAACACGGTGAAGGCCATAGTTCAGTTTCAGCCAGCTCTCACCTTCCGCTCGACTCCGTCCTTCGGGACCTTCGCCGCTCGCCAGGCGATGCGCGACGAGGAGCTGGTCGAAGCCGCGGTGGTCTCCACGGAGAGCTCAGCGCTGGCAGAGGTCCTGGGGAAGAAGGAGGCGCTGAGACACCGGCGCCTCGGTTTTGGAGACCTGGCGTCTCGGTTTCAGGCACCGGTGGAAAAAAGACCGCATTGGGGGAGGGCGAAGACTGTGCCTTGTTATGGGACGGTTGTGGGCTTTCGATTTTGTTGGAGAGGGAGGGGGGGGGGGTTGTGGGGTTTTCGAAGTTTCCTTTGGCGACAAGACAGGGTGACTGTGGAATCTTCTGCTTTGGAGTCTTTGGATTTTGTTTTTGGTCATGTGCGTGCAGTCATCCCAGAACTGTGCTGATGAGTCTGGGATGCTAGTCCTTGATCCGTGTTGGTTTCCCAATCGGGATTATGGATGAGAATTGGAAGCCTCCATTTCAATGATGCCCGCGATGAATTTTCATGTGATAATTTTCATAGCATTTGGTACACTTTTGGCTTCCTTTGGTGTCCAACCGGCGATTTTCTCTTGCGCGGAGTGCCTTGGGCAAAGTAAGGATCAAGCACGTGCTGCAGGCCCGAGGGCCGCTTCTTGGGTTGGGTTGGCGGGTTGGGTCGAGAGGCTGGAAGGTGCTGGGCTTTGCTTTTGGATTGGTTCGTTGTTGGCTTGTGTGTCGGTTTGGGGGGACAAGCAACTGCCACCGGTTTGGGAATGCTTGCTTCGTTGTCCGCTGTTCGTGTTCGTCTTTGCTCCCTTGCTTGTTTCCTTGCCGTACGCACAGCGGACAGCTTGCAGCAACAAAGGGATGAGCGTGCTGTGGAGTTTCTCAAAGAGTTCCTCAGCTGCTGTTTGCCAGCCATTGCAGTTTGACCAGTTGCATGCTCGCTCGCTTGGCTCTTCGTTCCTGTAGCTTGCAGACGTGTTTCGCACAGGACCGAGGCGTCCTGGGCGCGGAGGGCCCCATGCTCGCTCCCCCGCCGAGTGAGGAGGGCCGCAAAGAGAAACAGAGCCTCTTGTTTTGTTGGATTGAATTGATGCCTAATTAGTGACGGTTTTTGCATACCTCATGTTAAGGTAAACGCTCTTTTGCCCTCATGTTGGTGTCGTGGTTATCGTTACCGTTATCCTTATTGTTATCGTTGTCGTCGGTGTCGTCTTTGTCGTTGTCGTTGTCGCCATCGTCGTCAAAGAGGTGGATGTCGTGGTTGCTGTTGCTGTTGCTGTTGCTGTTGCTGTTGCCGTCGCCGTCGCCGTCGCCGTCGCCGTCGCCGTCGCCGTCGCCGTCGCCGTCGCCGTCGCCGTCGCCGTCGCCGTCGCCGTTGCTGTTGCTGTTGCTGTTGCTGTTGCTGTTGCTGTTGCTGCTGCTGCTGCTGTTGCTGCTGCTGCTGCTGCTGCTGCTGTTGCTGTTGCTGTTGCTGTTGCTGTTGCTGTTGCTGTTGCTGTTGCTGTTGCTGTTGCTGTTG